TTACATATTAGTTATTATTTTCAAAATTATATTTATCAGTAATATTAAAATGTAAAACTATACATTATATCAATATTTCAAAAATGTAAAATTAAACATAATAAGGTAATAATATTAATGATGCCACATGACGTCTTTCGGAAGTAGATTTTTACGTTGATGTGGACGCTTTCTAGAACCTCAGAATGCTCCTTTTATTAGTATAGATTTTTTTTCGCGCTACGCGCGAACTATCCTATTATAGGTTTTATGTATGAAAAAATTATGATCTTAATTAATTACATTTGACGAAACAACCAATTTAGAATTCTTAAACAATTAGAAGAAAATACTGTATTTTTTCTACATATGAAAGAAGCAAATAATAAATTTAAAATTCTTAAACAATTAAAAGAGAAAAACGTTGTTTTGGGTAGGATTTTCGCTATGTTCTTCTTTTTCGTTGTAGTTGAAATGTTTCGCTTTAGTTCTTATATATAAGTTCCTTATCATCTTTTTCATTGTTTTGTCAAAGTCAAATATAAAATCATGTAATTGTTGATAATCAGTAATAGTTTTTTTTTTCTTATAATGCACTACATTTGAAAATATGTATTTATTTTGCCTCAATGTCTCTGAATCATGCTTGGACTGTCACAACTTCATTTTTCCGACTACTAATTCTTTTATTCGATAATATTTGTTTATCCCATAGAGATTACTTAATTGTTGTTGATCTACAATATATTTATATATATAATATGGGATGGTGGTTTGAATACAACTTTATGTTTTTAAATTCAGAAATCAAATTGCTTTGATTTCATAAAACAATATTAAACCCATAACAATTTTAGTATACTGACGTAATCCATTAAGATATCAGAATTGTTAGCATTAAAATATATTACAGTAACAAATGTAATATTAATCTATAAGGCATTGTTTCAAAAAAATTATATATATGGCATTGCTATTCACTTTTTTGGCATTGCTTTTCACATAAGACTGATGTCTTTGTGTATTTTTCATTATTTTATTTGTGATGGCATCAACATACATGTGACAAAGGTTATTTGTTTTAGCATTTGGATATCTATCGCACATTATTTCATAGTTTAACCTATTAACTAGATTTTGACCCGCGCAACTGCGCGAGTGTTTGTTTTCGTTTATAGTTAGTTGTATAAACATTTTGTTTTCACTTGTAAATTGATATATATTATAGTAATCACATATTTACGATATGTATAGTAAATGTTTTTCAAACATAATAATATTAGATAATACGTGTTTTAATCAAATAGATTGTTTAAAATTTTCTATATTATACATGTTTTTAAAACATGTGTTTGTTTCTTTTTCTATATTTTATTGTTTGTTAGATTAGTATTTCACTTTTAGATAAAGTGATATAAATAGAGCTTAATTAAATATTAGTATACTTTAATTTGTAAAGATAATATAAATTTCGAATTTTTTTTTTCTAAAAACTAAACTTATAGCTTCATAAATTAATATTATAAATAATTTTATTAAAAAAAAAATTTTAAACAATTTTTTTTAAACAATATAATTTTAAAAATTTATATCGAAATAAATTTATCTAGTATATATAGCGTGTGAATTTGTTAGGGTATAAAAATATTTCATATTACGAATATGTGATTTTTGTTAATATATTATGGATGCATTTAACTATTATTGGCATATTTCCTTATAAATAATAGAAGATTCTTAATCTTATATCTATTGACATATTTTGCATGACTAAGTTGGAAGGTGTGGAGTAATTTACCTAAATCAAATTGTTAAGCGTATCTTTGTTATTATAGATATGATTTTTCATAAGATATAACAATGATAAGATTATTAGAAAGTTAATGTAACATAACTTTCTAGTAATAGTCTATTTTTAAAAAAAAATCACACATAAAGTCAAGTCATGACTTCTGTTTTAATATATAAGATTAGAAAGTTAATGTAACATAACTTTCTAGTAATAGTCTATTTTTAAAAAAAAAATCACACATAAAGTCAAGTCATGACTTCTGTTTTAATATATAAGATTTGCAGCTGGCACAAAAAATATACACAATTTTGACCTATTTAAACTATAGAAAACGTGCATCATTAAATTACACATTATACAAACAAACGCAGGTAAAACTTCTATGCCTACTTTTCTTTTCTTAGCTGTTGTATTTATCATTAGTACATATCACGAGCCACTGCGACTGCGTATCCGATATCCCCAGGACCAACCTAAAACTTGTTTCTTTTGTTTGATATTCTTATATCTTACCATCTTTTGTGTAATCTCACATAACTCAGAAATCGTCAAGTATAGATGTCTTCTTTCTCATAAACCCCTTAAGAGATCTAAATGACCTACAAAAAAACATGACCATTACAGCTCAAAGCTATAACGTTTGAAGAGATTACAGAGAGTTTAAGGAACCTCTTGACAATCTCTGCTCTTAGTGATAATGATTGGTACAATATTTGATGATACGCCACTTCACACCGTAGCAACCAATCCAGTTATCTTATTGCCAATACTCTTGTTGAAATCAAACGAACATATCACCTTGGCAAGACCAACACAATTTGCTTTTTAGCTTCTTCATTAGAGAGTACATTAACCTAGCCAGGAAGAAGTAAGCAAAACTTGTGTACATTTACCATAAGAGAAGACCTTGGGAATTCTTGCAGCATGAGAAGGCAAAGTTATTACCAGATGAAACCGGGCTTTCTCAAAGGTCGTTCTTGCATTATGTAGCCTGTAGGTCCATGTCTCTCTGCCAAATTTAGTTTGACATATTCAACAATATCACCTTCCTGCCTCAAACAGAATAATCTTGCCGCTGGATCATTGTCAATAGGACCACCAAATCTATCCAACATCCTCGTCTTAAACTGCTCCCAATGTAGAAAAGGATCATTGCTTGACTCTCCATTAAACCACTGCAACACGGGACCTTCCAAACTCAAAGAAACCAAATACATCTTCTCCTCGTCATCAAAGTTTCCAATCCTGAAAAAACGCTCAACACGCGAGATCCATTCGAAAGGCAAAGGACCAGAAAACACAGGCATCTCAATCTTACGCAGCATTTTATCACGGTTCACAAACGAGTCCTGAATTCTCCGATAACCTAATCGAGAGTGAGATTGTTCCGGTTCAGAGATATCGATTGCTACATGTTCCCGAGTTGATGGTGAACCGGTTGCGATCTCTTTCCCTGGACGTTGATGAAACACTCCACTCTCATCAATTCGAGTCAAGATCTCCGTCATGATACTCATCCGTTTCTCAAGTGACTCGAATTTTGAATTTGTCTCCGTTCCAACCGACTCAATCGTCTTCTCCAGTGTCGTCAACCTCTCCGCTGTAGCTCGATCGTTACGCGAAATGGAATCATCACGCAATTTAAGCCAATCCAAATCGTCTTGCAATCGTTGTATGTTCACCGATGGATGTGAATCCGAAATTACTTCGCGCTCGCCTCCGGTCATAAACCCTAAGGGAAGAGTTAAACTTTGATCAGCAACACGAGAAATATATATTTTATTCGATGGAGACTGGCCATAGCTTGAACTTCTTCGGCGGAGGTTTTCAATTTGGATGGATTTAGCCATTTAGATTTAGACGATGCGAGTTATATCGGAAAAGAATCAATAGAGGAGTGAGTAAAGAACATCATTGATTGATGAACTAAGGATTGCGGTAACGATTACAGATGAAAGGGTTGGTGGAGACGAAGGGGAAGAGACATAGTTCAAACGACAATCCCGGTTTAGATGTATAGTGTTTTAATATGGGCCATAGCAAAAATTTAAAACCCACACGAAAAACCCAGTTTCACTCTTCTTTGGTCAAAGGTAATGATGACATGGCCAAAAACAATCTTTTTATTGGCTGATTATTTTAGGTGAGGTGGACACCTTTGCTTTTGAGTATATGCAAATTTTAATATTGTTAGATTAGATAGATAGATTTGGCAAATTTCCCAATTTTATATTTGTCATGTTTTTAATAATTTTAGCTGGTAATCATATTTTTAAATAACTTTATATGATTATTACAAGAAATCTTATATATTAAAACAGAAGTCATGACTTGACTTCATGTGTGATTTTTTTTTTTAAATAGACTATTACTAGAAAGTTATGTTACACTAACTCTCTAATAATCTTATCATTATTATATCTTATGAAAAATCATATCTATAATAACAAAGATACGTTTAACAATTTGATTTTGGTAAATTACCCCACACCTTCCAACTTAGTCACGCAAAATATGTCAATAGATATAAGTTTAGAAATCTTCTATTATTTATAAGGAAATATGTCAATAATAGTTAAATAAATCCACAATATATTAACAAAAATCACAGATTAGTAATATAGAATATTTCTATACCTAACAAAATTTACACGCTATATATATTAGATAAATTTATTTCAATGTAAATTTTTAAAATTATATTCTTTTAAAAAAAGAAATTCTTTAAAAATTCTTTTTTAATAAAAATCTTTATAATATTAATTTATGAAGCTATAAGTTTAGATTTGAGCAAAAATTTCTTCGAAGTTTATATTATCTTTGCAAATTAAAGTATACTAATATTTAATCAAGCTCTATTTATATTACTTTATCTAAAAATGAAATACTAATCTAACAAACAATAAAATATAGAAGAAGAAACAAACACATGTTTGAAAAACATGTATAATATAGAAAATTTGAAACAATCTATTTGATTAAAACACTTATTATATAATATTATTATGTTTGAAAAACATTTACTATACATATCGTAAATATGTGATTACTATAATATATACCAATTTACAAGTGAAAACAAAATGTTTATATAACTAACTATAAACGAAAACAAACACCCGCGCGATTGCGCGGGTCAAAATCTAGTAACTATTTAAAAAAGAGCGTCTCCACAAACCTAATATATTTCTAATGAAATACTCCACTATTTATTTCTTCTTTTTTGTTTTTATTTTAATTTTTGGTCGTGTGAGGCCTCCATAGCAAACGACTCAGGAATTAAGAGCATTGTCATGAGAAAAATATTCTCTTCTTTCACAGGAGATATCTGTTGATTGTCGCCGTTGAATTTCAATCCGCAAAATGCTGGTCCATCCTCTGCATCCAAAAAAACTTCTGTAGCCTTAACGAAATTTCGTATTTTGACGTAATTCAAACCTGAAGTTAACAATTTAAAGCTATTAGAGTAAAGCTTCAGGCATTCTTCCAGCAACTTCTTAGTAAGACTATTCTTATATTTTTTCTCTTTTATAATCTTCTCCACCATTCTCTTCACATTCGTTAAGTTTGATATGGCGTTATTTGCTCCTACAATGATCAAATCACCGAGAGTTCTCGCATTCTGGCTCTTCGAATTCTCTTTAAGAGTCTCAATGCAAACTTTTTCGAAATGTGGAATCATGTCCCCTCCTGGAGACGTTGAAGCATCTTTGCAAGCTTTTTGAATCAAAGAATCTGCCTCTTTGTTTGCAGTGCAACCACTAAAAAGGAAAGCAAACACAATGAGGTACATCATTTTGTTTTTTGGAAACATCTTCATTGTGGTGTCGTATATTGTAACTTATGATACCCATATAAAAGCAAGCAAAAATCTACTCACATGAGAGTAACCACATGCTATTTTTAGATGGCTCATGTTTCGTGTTGCCACTCCACTTGCTTCGTTGCCTTTTTTCGTGGGTCAAACTTTGTTTTATTAAATTAATTATTTCAAAATATTACATTACTTTTGTTTTGTATATATTATTTGTTATCTTGTTTCATTTAAAAAAAATAAACTTTATCATCTATAATTTTATCTTTTATAATTTGGATTTTTTTCAATCTGAGTTTAGAATACATTTTTTAATTGTATATTTGGTCAAGAAATATTTTGAAAAGTACTAAATATATTTGATTTTGAAAGATTATATGACTTTGAAATTTTTTTTACTAAATTAATGCATTATTTTATACAATTTTGGTTATCTTTTTATATATTTTCTCAACATATTATTTTATAATTAAAAACAATTGTACTTAAAAAGTTTTTTCATTAATCTTTTTTGAATTATTAAAAATTTCTGACATACTACTTGTTATATGATACATGAACTAAAAGTTAATTATATAATAATATATTTTACATATACTCATTTTTAGAATATATATTGTTGTGAGTTTTAAATTAAGTAAAAAATAAGATATAGTTGTAGATATAAAAATTTAACGTTTGCTAACATTTTTTTTGTAAGAAAATATGCATAGTTTATGTATGTTAATTTTTTTCACGATGAATAATAGTTTGTTTGTTTATTTAAGTGAAATAAATTTAAAATAAAAAAATTAGGAAACAATTGCAAAAATACCATTTTTGCGATATCACAATTCAATTTTACCATCATTCAAAGGACATTTTCATAAATACACAATTCATTAATGACAAAAGACAATTGTACCTTTCCCTATCTTCTCTTCTCTTTCCTTTCTCTCGGCAAGATCCGTCGTCTCTTTCCGGAAAGTGCGACGAAAGATCATAGAGGTTCAGTCCTTCGCTGCCTCCTTCACCGTTCACGATGTGTCATTCCACCTCCAGGATCAGCGGCTGCGGAAGAGGTGGAGATAATCTACCGCCGAGAGCTGGAGAACCACATCCTAACCGTGGAGCAACCCGATTCATCCTCCTCCTCGGACAGCATCTTCTACTACGACGAAGCTTCCCAGACCAAAATCCAGCAGGAGAAGCCATGGGCCACCGATCCCAACTACTTCAAGCGCGTCCAAATCTCCGCCCTCGCGCTCCTCAAGCTGGTTGTCCACGCGCCCTCTGGCGGCACGATCGAGATCATGGTTCTTATGCAGGGGAAGACCGATGGCGATAACATCATCGTTATGGACGCTTTTGCCTTGCCTGTTGAAGGCATGGAGACTAGGGTTAATGCTCAGGCTGATGCTTATGAGTATATGGTTGAGTACTCTCAGACCAACAAGCTGGTAATTTTTGCTCCTTTTATTTATCTCGTGCAAAGTTTCCTTCTTTTGGTTAGATTGCTACTGGGTTTGTTGTTTTCTTGGGTTTTGGAGATGCCCTCATCGTTGCACGCTTAAAGTCGCTGTCTTTTTTTTTTTTTGCTGAGTATGTATTTTAGGGTTTGATTGGTTATTTGATGTTTTTTTTTGAATTATAGGCGGGGAGGTTGGAGAATGTTGTGGTATGGTATCACTCTCACCCTGGGTATGGATGCTGGCTCTCGGGTATTGATGTCTCGACGCAGATGCTTAACCAACAGTATCAGGAGCCTTTCTTGGCTGTTGTTATTGATCCGACGAGGACTGTTTCTGCTGGTAAGGTTGAGATTGGGGCGTTCAGGACTTATCCGGAGGGGCATAAGATCTCTGATGATCATGTTTCTGAGTATCAGACTATCCCTTTGAACAAGATTGAGGACTTTGGTGTTCATTGCAAACAGGTTGGTACTTGTTGATATTATTGCTTTTCCTTATAATTTTGGAGGCGTTTCTTATGTATGATTGTTTTTGGATATAGGATAGTACTTTTCGTTGGACAAGTACTGGGTGAACACTCTTTCTTCTTCCCCACTTTTGGGCAATGGAGACTATGTTGCTGGACAGATATCAGACTTGGGTAAATAATTCTTGGATATGCAAGAGCATGTTAATTTTTAACCTTTTTCATGAGGTAGTTTTTTATATTTTTTTGCTCTCTTTTTCTTATCACTGTATTCCTTTAACGAATGAAGCTGAGAAGCTTGAGCAAGCCGAGAGTCAGCTGGCGCACTCCCGGTTTGGAGGAGTACCGGCCAGTCTTCACAGGAAGAAAGAGGTTTTGTCTAAATAGGGGCTTTATGTTCTCAGTGTATCTTGACTGTCTGTGATTATAAACGATGAACTTGAGCTCTTATAGAAACTCTACCTGCACATCATTATGGTTCAACGTTTAGCTTATCTAGTTTCTTTTGCTAAGCTACAATTGTGTTTAAACGTCGTGGTTTTTTGTGTATCTAGCTAACGATGGTGCGACGATCTTGGAGAAAATGGATGTTGACAACCAGATTGCGAAGCTTATGGTTGAGCTATCACGGAGTCAGGATTATGAGATTGGTGATGGCACAACGGGCGTTGTTGTCATGGCTGGTGCGCTTCTTGGTTTAGGGTGCTGGAAAATAGGAGCATGAGCTATGTAGATGGACTTGTTCTCATACCTACACACGACTTGTTCCTTGTTGAAAATGTCCAACGCATATGCATTTGCGATACAGGTACTACTTAGATTCTAATCACCGATAGAGAAATGCTAGTGTTGTTACTGATGTTTTTACCCTCTGTAGCTATAGAGGAATGGGTGAAGAATAATGATGTGCTCTTGTTCTGGCAAGTTAAGCCCGTTGTCCATGCCTTTCAGGTAAATCCAAACCTGCTTTAAGTTTAATAACTTTGTTTTCTCTTGGTGACATATTATACATGACTTGTTTATGATTTGCATCCAGTTAACTGAGGAAGGACGGACCATGTGAGGAACTCGGCCCTGATGGACAACCTTCTAGCTTTAACGAATTGATTCTTCCTGCTAAGGAGTTTGATGGCTTATGGGAAAGGTGTGTCTCAGAGTCTGGTCCTGACTTGGTTGTAAAGCAGTAATGGGTATGAAACAATTTATTCAGTGGTCTGGCTTTTGTTTTGTTTTGTGTAGCTTGATATATGAATCTGGACTTAAGCAACGGTTACTATGTTACGCCGCAAGTGCTTTGTTGTTCACGCAGAAGGGTGTTAATCCAAATCTCGTTTCATGGAACAGGAGTGACATTGGTCTATGTTTGTTTTGCAGATACATTTTGTGCTTCTTGTTAGTCGCCAAGGAAAAGTCAGGCTACTTCTGTATGTGTATTGATCAGGAGGATAATGAGTTAGGTGTTGCTGTGTCTTTCTTGAGTATCTTGACTAAGAAAGCTTCAACCTTTAATAGAAAGTTTCAACTTTTAATTGATGTTGTTAGATTATTAACTTATTGCTTTGTCTCTATTGAGAATTTTGATTAAAAAAAGTTTCAACCTTTACTGTTAGATTTTTAATTTAGAAAAGTTTGATTTTTTTTCTTAGGTGTTCTTGTGTCTCTGTTAAGGATCTTGACTAAAGCTGTGTATCCACAAGATCCTGATGGCTTAAGAAAAAGCGTGAATCTCTACTTCGCTGTGGGTATAGTTGTTATGGTGATCTGTGCTGTATCCTACAACTTAGCTCACAAGCTTCCTGTGATCAAGTTCCATGAAGAGCGCAAGGCTCAAGCACTGCTCAAAGAGAGTCAAGAGAACGGTTCTTTAACCGGACCAATGTGGAGGAAAACACTCTGGCAGATCGTGACTAGGATCAAGTCTCATGGCTTTGGGATTGTACTTATATACATTGTGACGCTGTCTATATTCCCTGGCTACATTACCGAGGATGTTCACTCTGATCTGCTTAAAGATTGGTTCCCTGTTCTACTCATTGCAGCTTTCAATGTGTTTGACTTGGTTGGGAAGTCGTTGACTGCTGTTTACATGCTTGCGGATGAGAAAGGGTAGTTACAAAGTTGTCTACAAAAGGTACGCGTGTCTCTACTTCTGTATGTGTATTGATCAGGAGGATAATGAGTTAGAGGTCCTTGAGATCATTCATCACTACGTCGTGATTCTCGACCGCTATTTCGGAAGTGTGAGTTGATTAGCTAGCCACCTACTTGGCATAACCTCTGCTTCCACTTCTTATGATTTTTTTTGTGTGATCTTTTTCAGGTGTGTGAACTTGATTTGATTTTTAACTTCCACAAGGTAATATACACATTAACACAAACACTCTGCCATTATTCAACACTTAGTTTTTTCATTGGTTACTTTCTTAGGCGTATTACATATTGGATGAGCTTTTGATTGCGGGTGAGCTCCAAGAGTCAAGCAAGAAAACTGTAGCCAGGATTATATTATCTCAGGTAAACCACCTTTACTTTTTATTTTTTAAGACATTGACATGAAAATATTATAGTTATTTTTTTACATATGATTTGTTTTGACAGTCTCTGTCTGTTTTGTTCTTAAAGGATCAAATGGTGGAAGCTGCAAAAGAGGAGGCTGGTGAAAACCTTTTTATAATAGTCTATAAATTATTTGTAAGAATTTATAAAATTATTTATAAGGATTTATAAAATTATTTATAAGGGTTTATAAAATTATTTATAAGGATTTGTAGAAATTCTAAAGGTAATTCAATTATAAAGTCTAAAAACATTTTATAAAGGGTTATAAATTATTTCTAAGGGTTTATAAATCATTTATAAGGATTTATAAATCATTTATAAAAGTTTATAAATCATTTAGCTTGTGATCTACAATAAGTCTTTTCTTTTTATAATAATAAAACTAAACAAAATTTGAAATTTTCTACTATTGAATTAGCATTTCAAATAATTCTAATGGGAGAGATGATGTATTTTTGTTGACTGTTACAATAAATATCTTATCTTTTTTTCTATCTAACTTTGGAAATTCACTTTCTATTTATAAGGGTTTATAAAACCATGTATAAAAATTTATATAACCCATTTATAAGAGTTTATAAATCCATTTACGAGATTCAACCAGCTTTATGTGTTCATTATGTGTTCGAAGAAGAGCAAATGATGCTTTCAGTGCAAAGGCATACAATATATAAAATCATAAATAATAGTTTTATAAATCATAAATCAATTTATAAAGATTTATAAAGTTTTAACACATAAAGGCTTATAAATCATTTTTAAGGGCAAATAATTAACAAATCTTAAAACATTTTATAAAGGCTTATAAATCATTTTAAGGGTTTATAAATCATTTTTAAGGGTTTATAAATCATTTATAAGGATTTATAAATTATTTATAAGTGCTTATAATTTCTAATAAATCTTTGTAAATCAAGGGAGGGCGTATGTAAGAGAAGCGTTACAGGTTTGTTGTTAAAGGATGGGTTGATTTGGAGGTATTTGACAGCAATTGTGTTTGATATTCTTTGGAAACATGCTAACAAGCTGATAGAAGAGACAAGAGTGATAACACATTGGAGGCAACAAATTTTGATACAACAAAAGAAAAAATGGAGGAAGAATTACAAAAGTTGGATGTTCAAGTATAAAGGCGTTTGGACAGAACAACATCAGATTGTTATACACATAGCTTATGTAACCGATAGATGTAGAAGTTCGCAAACTTCAGAAAGCAGAGATTGCGGAGAGTTGATTGCTTATGGTTACAGTCGAAGTGCAACGAGTTTGGCTCAGACCACTTACTTCCGTGCTGTGCTTATGACTTGTGGAGTGATTGGACTGTTCTGGGAGGCCAAGTGGTGATGCAACAGCTGCTATTGAGTAAAATGGCCAAGTTATGGAGATTATAAGTGTATATACAATAATTTTATAAGAGTATATACAATAATTTTATAAGGATTTATAAATTATCCATAACAGTTTATAAGTCATTTATAAGTGTTTATAAATAATTTATAAGGGTTTATAAAACATTTATAAGGTATCTACACTTATAGGAATTAATATATCATTTATAAAAGTTAATGAATCATTTACAAGAGTTTATAAATAAAAGTCACTAAACATTTGTAATCATGAAGGGGTTGTGGACGGGGTTTTTACTTATGAAGCCAGTGCTCTTGTTTGTATTATTTGTAAGATGCAATAGGCCATCATCGAGAGTTGCCATGCCATCACGATACAGGTCTGCTTTACTGAAGTTATAGTGCACAAATTGAGTAACCTCTTGAGCTAACACCAAAGAAAACTAATGTATAAGATATTATATTTTGATTTACAAGAGTGTATAAATTGATTTATAAGGGTTGATAAACTGATTTATATTGCTTGCAAATGTGACATTTTCTTCAGGATAAGTTTATGTATCTTCTTGAGTCTCTAAGAAAGCAGCTAATATCCTTGAACTGCAGAAAAAAAGACTGAACACAGATTCAGATTTCATGGACTTGCTTGTTTGCAGACAATCTCTATAATATTATTTGAGAAGTCAGTTTCCCACGTGTCGCGCTCACGTTAACTCTCGGGATGGTTGATTACATAGATACCCTTAATGAATTGTTAGATTTTAAGATTATTATTTTTATTTAGTTTCTTTTTTACCCTTTTCCAAATAATATATATAATAAAAAGGAAATATTTCTAAAATTTTAAAACAAATTTAAAAACGAAAATATATGTATATAGTATGACTTTATTAAAAAGGAAAGTTCACAAAATAGTAATACCCTCCATTAATATATATTTTTAAATAACATAAAATATATTTTCAAAATAATAAAAATATATATGTTCATGAACATCCAAAAATTTATCAGTTACACTTTATTATCTAATATTTTTTAGAAATCAACATATATTTTGATAAATATTATAAAATACATGCATATTTAAGAGATAAATAAAACTAATTTGATTTGACTTAACTAAAATAAAGAGTAAATAAATATTATGAAAATACATGTATATTTAAGCGATAAATAAAACTAATTTGATTTGACTTAATTAAAATAAAAAGTAATTATACTTCAGTTTTAATTTAAAAATATATTAACTCTATATACTCACAAAATGAATGACTCGACCAATCTAATTTATATCCAAAATTAAACATTTAACCACAATAAGAACATATAATTTTATAAAAAAAATAATAATCTATTTAATTTTATACATATAAATTAGAGGTTGACTCAGAGCATATTAAAAAGAAAATATTAAATAATTACAATTTAGTTCTTTTTAGAATTTATATATATGCATGAGACTTCAAAATATTATCATTATATTCCTTTATGTAATTTTGAATCAAACAATTCAGCTTATTATTTATTGCATTTTAAGCACAATATATATTAAGTTATACATAATTTAACTAAAATATATTTACATATCTAAGAATATGTTTACATATCTAAAGACAATAACCAACCAAAATGAAAATAAAAATTAATCAAAGTTTTATTATATTTAGAATAAGAAACATTATAGCTTAATTCGATAAATAGATATTATCCAATATACTAAATTGATAACCAAACCGACTATTATTTTACCGATAATAATATATCCAAAGTCATATGTATAATTATAATAATATACTATTTATTAATATAAGTTATACATATAAATTGATTCAAAACTTAAACTAAGTATCATTCAATTATTATAAATTAATTTTATGAATATTCATACCCGTGCTGAGCACGGGAAAATCACCTAGTGGATGTATATGAGAGAAGTCATTAACCAGTGTCCCTGAGCCCATGATCGACATTTTCCAGACAAGGCCTTCTTAAAAAGAATGGAAGCAAAAGCGGGGCTGTCCAGGAACAGCCTTCTTATTGTTCGGTTTGAGTGAAACTCTTCCAGGATGTGCTGTGAACTGTTCTCTGATTCTTAGAAGTTTCGGCTCTGCTGCTACAGAGGCAATGGCTAATAGTGGACGAACTCAACATGTTAGTCATAGAGAGCCTAAAGAAAGAAAAGAAGAGAAGTCTAGACCATATCATGCAGCAAACAAGTAAATCGTTAACCATTGATCTGCAAACTGCCTAAACTCAAGACTAATTTCATATAAACAAGATAAAGCAAAATTAAAGTCTCAGGACTAGTATCACAAACATATAGTGTAACAGACACATAAACACAACACATTAGCTAACATCATAATGCCTCCATAGATATAAGAAAGCTAGACACAAAACATTACTTCATCAGTCAATCACAGTGATCTACTTTCTGCTCTTCTAGGTGATGAGGACAAACTCTGTAGGTTTGATGAGCTTTTGAAAGTAAACTTGTCACCAACCTTTAAAGGAAACTCTCGTGCCAATCTACTCCATCCACTTGAAAGTAATCATCGAATAAAAAGAACATGATCCACACCTCCAAAGATACGAAATCAGAACCAAGAAAGTAGCTTACTTTGAATTTTAGAAAAGAGAGAACAATGAAAACATAACTTAAAAACAAGAATCATGTGGGAAGAACTTGGTCACTCGAATCCTTCTCATCATCCTCATCACCATCATCAAAAAACGCTGTTCCTCCCCTGTCAACGTCATCAATCTTTACCGGATTCAACCACGGAATCAAAGATGAAGACTTTGATGGCGAAACACCGAGGAGCGTTGAATCAGCAGCCGACGTTGACTTCAGAACAGAGATCAGACCCATCTTCTCTACCAAAAATACAGTCTCAGTGAGAGATGGACATTAAGAAGGGTAATGAAACAAGAAAGCAAGCTTCAGAAACTAGAAGAACAGACGAAAGTAAACGAGGAATCTCACCTGCAATACCAAAATACAAAATCGAATGAATTAATGACAAGGTTTACTTTGTTATCAAGAAACAAGAGTCATATCAAAGAGCAAAAAATCATGTATCAGGTGTAAACTAACTTACCAATAAAAAGAACCACGTTTTTACTTAACCGAGGAGGGGTTGTGGACGGGGTTGTAATCATGGGATAGAAACATTTGACAGAGTTCACACCCATAAAAGTCAGTAAAGCCATAGTACTCCTCTCTATCACTAGCCATCGTCACCTCAAGCTCCATTCCTCCCATGTAACTTCCATTCAGTTCTAACGCTTTCTCATTGCCTTTACCATTTCTCAGATCAATGAAAGCAAATCTGTTATATATGAAAAAAAAAAAAGAGAATCAATCTTTAGTTTTACGTCAAATTTAATAGAGTTGTTAGGGTGAGGGAACAAGAGTCACAAACCCTAAGGGAAGACGGTTTCTACACTCTATAGGAACATAAACCCTTGTGACCTCTCCACAAGAACTGAAAAAGTTACTCAGTGCATTCTTGGTTTCATCCTTAGGTCGCAGATTTTCAAATCCTTTAACTAATATGGTTCGGTCATTGTTTCCCCTCGCATCTTTACATCCGAAACATCAAGAAGAATCTTCCTCCTTTTTATTTGGGGTTTCTTTCTCCTATAGAACACATCAGCTTAATAAATTTTGTTAAGCATATGAACCAAATCCTTGTAAACACTTACATGAAACCTCAGGTAGATCGGCTCTTGTCAATAAGATCTGTTGCAGCGTTTTCACAGCTTCAGACAGCTCTTTGATAGATTTATTCATTTCTTTGATTTCCTGCCATTGAATTAAAAAGTAAAGAATAAGCACACTGGTAAAACCATATCAAACTCATTGGATAGAGCTGATGATATTTAAGAGGATAAGCATTTAAGTTTTCAAGACAAAAGACAAAACTAAAGGTTCAGCTAAAACCTCACAAAGAATCTAAACTGATTGTACTGTCTAAATAGGCAGTTTTCATTTTAATAAACATGTAATTAGAGGGAATACACTAGGAAAGCATCTAACCTCAGAATTCTCATTTTGTATCTTCTGCTTCTTCATATTTGTTTTGCTCTGTAAACAAGGTTGTAACACGCTCTAACCTAAATAGAGAGACAGACAAAAAATACATCAAAAACAACATTAGGCATTCAAAATCATTATATATATATATAGTTTCTTGAAACCAAATCAAAATGTGAACGATACTTCTGAAAATCAACAAATTTAGTGTATAGAAAAGTTGATTTCAGAATGAAAAGCCATAAACCATATTAACCTTCATAAAAGGTTCGAAACTACTACTGCTATAGATTCATATCTAGGGTTCTATCAAGGTATTGACCTTAATACTTTTAACCATCATAGCAAACGTTCAAGCCCCCTAGATGTATAGATGTGAAAGAGTTTTTAAAAGGTGTGGTGTGCCTGCCTTCTTCTCTTATATAACAAACACAACTGGATTTGCTCTAAACCCATACAAACATTATATGTTTAGTCACTGCTACACCTGTATGTGCCCCTTATACACTTAATGCTCTAATGATTATCAAGAACAAGAGCAACGAAGTAAGAAGTTTATATATTTCACCTGTATTGAAGAAGACAGGCGTTTTGGAAGATTCATTAGCCCTCTTCTTCTTGGTGCGCTGGTGGCCAATGAAATGCACATATCGTCTCTCCAAGCAGTGGGAGAGCTCATTATTTGTCAAAGAAGAGATGATCAAAGTTGATGTGAGGGAAGCTATCTTGAGAGAGTGTTCCAAGGAGGAGTTTCTTGTCATCAATGGTGGCATACAAGAGGGCAGATACTCCCTTTTTCGCTTTACCAAGAGAAGCCTATACAAATAGAGGAAAGGGCAAAATTAAAGAGACTTGTAACAAAATATCAACTTTAGAATCGTTTATGAGTAACTGAAATTAACCTGAGAGATGTGAATGAGACCGTGATAATCCTGCATAAGGGATTGATGCTTGAACATGATCCTAGGATCGACGGAATCAGTAATCTCCTTCATCGGATCTGATCAGAGAATCGCAGACACGGAAGAAGAAGGAGAAGAAAACGGATACGCGGTGGTGAAGCAAGGACTCGCCGGAGAAGCTTGATTTGGAGTTTTCGTAGGTGATTGTGCGGCAACGGAAGCGAGCTTCGAGAGGAAAGGATCGTTAGGGTTCATCTAAGGCATAGGGATTTTGGCAGCGGCTTTCATCACAAAAGCAATCGCCAACGTCTCACATATCTTATTGTCGTAGCCGGAGTTTGCCGGATCTCATATCAAAATTTTAAGTGTAAAGTTGTTAGTGTAAAAGTAAAATAGTATATCATTAAAATGGTAGTTTTAGCAATTTTCCAAACATTAATTTACAAAATTTACCAGATTTATCAATTTTTATTTAATTCCCTACGTACTTCTATTTTAATATAACACTAGAACTGAGACAATTCTCTTTGAACCTTTAAGAATACTTGAAAGTTAGAGAGAGAAAGTAGATCTAGAGGACTTCCGGCGGTCGACCGGCGCGTGAGCGTCCGTGCCGTCGCCGGAACCCTCTCCTTTTCTTCGGTTGTGTTCCTCCGTCTTCCCTCTCTACTGCCCTGTCAACGACCGCTTTGTTCAAGCTCTGATTCCGCAACCATTCTCAATGGAAGCACGGTTCTTTGGAGTACGGACGCGATTGTCGGAAGGTCTTTGTTGGAGAGGGAGCGCTTAGTGTCTGTAGTGGTGAAGTGTTGCTGAGAGGCGGAGGCTAAGAAAGATCCGTCGTCGTCGGCTTCTCTGTGGGAGGTGGAGGCTTGCTCAGATCC